GATTATTTTCCTGAATCAAGCCACACCCGAAGCCCCTCTGTGGACAAGTATGGTGAACTTCCAGAAGTGAAATCGGTTTATACCATGCACTGTAAGTAGATCTAGTTAAGGAGACACCACCCGCAATGAATAGGCCAGAACTAACCTTAATGATTCACAGCCACAAACAACAAATCTAATGTGTAACGCCCAACACTAAAATTTACCGCTCACCCTCGATTCTATGCACTCGATGCTTGAAATGCTGAAATGGCAACCCAGGCAACAAACCGGACTCCAATTGCTCAAAGGCCTTTAACTCTTTATGTCTACGGCAATTGCTCCATGTCTGCTGCAGGTGGATCCTAACTTACCTCAGAGTCCGCGGAATGCCTTGTCACAATCCGAAAGCATGACCCCTGACTTAGTCCTCGTCCTGCCGTGTGGCCGTGCCCTGCGAACCGAACGAGGAGTGACCGACCTCAATTGCAATGCATGAAGCACATGACAAACCTAGTACGAGTGACTGGTGACTGCGGGTGGTTCAAGCACTTGTCGCTTCCGAGTGTGACAGGAAAGAACACAGCAACTGTGCCGATGCAAATCGTCACAAACTGTGCAGCACCAGAACTCCGAGGACCCCGCCAAAGAGGTGCCAGTCCATGTCAGCAACCTGAAGCGCAAAAGTTTAAGTCAGCAAACAGTGCGATAGGAACTAACATCCGGCAAATGTAAAGTGTGCCAGGACAACTCTTTTGAACGGCGAGAGCGAACTGATCTGAACTCCGAGTGCAGAAAACGTGTCACTTTCGAGACTGGCCGGCGAGAGCGAACTGCTCCAGAACTCCAAATGGAGACTGGCCGGCGGGTACGTCGTGCTTGAACGAACTGCGGCTAGTTCCACGAGCCCGGTCCAAGTTCGAGTTTCTTGAGAAACAGTCCGATGCACTGAAAGTCGATCGTGTCACCTGAACCAGCGATGTCCGAAAATTTGTCGACTTGGTAAGTATTTCAGTTATACTACAAGGTTTACCAACAAAAATCTTACTGGTTCTGCTGTTGCACGTCCGTCGGGGCCCTTCGTGATGCAGAAGTACAAGTCCGACGCGTTGTGCGACGACACCGCGTAGTACATGTGGCCCTGCCAGGGAACGGGGACGGCCACCGGGTAGGCCTCCCAGTCGCGGTTCAGCATCTCGACCATCCACGATTGCGGGTGTCGGGAACCGAACAGCGGGGAATGGAGTCCGGCGGAGAGGGCGTTGTCTGTCCTGCGCTGGGCCGCCCCGAGTATCTGCTTGAAGCAGAGCCTGGACCGGCAGTGGGTGCTGCGTGTTTAACCACTCACACACACAAGTGCAAGTACTGGAATGCTTGAATGACTGAGTGCGCTGATGTCATAGCTGAGTGCCACACTCCAACATTTTATCGCCCTGCATGTGTTCGACGAGTATCTGCCAGCCGTCGTCCTTCCTGCTAGGGAACAATTCAATTATCAGAAACACAAACTATTAAAATCTAGAAGTCTCTCTCACTCACCGTCCGAGGAGTCCGTGTCGCGAAGGCAGGGGGCCGCTTGTACAGCAGTCCATCGGTTGCAGCAAGCCAAGACCAAAGCCTACGGGATGTGCTCTGTGGAAAATAATCAATGTATTATAATATTATATGGCTTTAAAAGCATGCACCTTCATAGAAACCACGCTACAACCAACATGGGTGTAACGAGCCTGTCCGCCCATTTCTGCTGCGTGTCGTACGGCGAGTGTTCGGGTACAAAGACAGTCGAGAGCCATTCGGTGCGCCATTCGGGCATCCTGTCGGGTTGTCCAGTGCGGAAATAATATGCCTGCGCAAGGCTCAGATCGGCGAGGAAGCACTGCAAATCCTCCTGCGAGTCAATGTCCGGCGGAAGGCAGTCCAAACAGTTCGACGGCAGCTGCTCGCAATAATCGAGATTACGCTGCAGGATGGTACTTGGGTCTTCCATCCCACAGACCGACGCGAGGTAATAGTCCATCGCACGAAAATCGAATATGACCTCGTCCTGCGGGTCGGTGGAACGGCGAAGAAAAAACGGGAGTCCATGGGGAAGTCCTGCTCGGTCAGCGGAACCGGAGGACGACATGTCCGACGAGAAAGAACGAGGAAAGGGAGAGGAATGATGATGACAGTGGCAGGTGGCTTGGGCTTTCTGGCAGCGGCATGATAACAATGATTCTGTGTCTAGGCTTCTTTAAAAAACCTAAAGCATCACCAACCACGACAGACCATGATGCTTCAGATGAAAGTCTGCCTGACTTGTGCTGCTGCTCCACACTGGCAAGTGCTAGGCTGCCCACGGTGATCTACGTGTGCCCACTCGAAGTCCAGCGGAGTCACCTTTGTGAGGCCGACGTTAGTACTACATGGGAACCATGGACTCATGATTTGTCCCTAGTCCTTCGGGGTGGTCCTGCGGTGCCGCTTTTGAACTTCCTAGCTTAAATCATAGTAACTTCGAATGCAAAGTGCACAGAAAAGGAGCTTGGACAGTCCTAGGAACCGACCTTGAACAGTCTGGTTACAAAACCCAGCATTCTTTACAAGAGGCAAGCTGCATCGAACTCCGAACGACCGTTGCAATGTGTACTGACGACCCAGGCCTTGTGTCTAAGTCTTCAAACTGACATGTATAACTATGATTCTAAACTGCATTCAGTCAGCTGCTAACCACCCTTGTCCCAAAGGAACCCCACACCCTGTGTAAACCCGACAGCTGAAACACAGACTCTGTGTGTGTGTGTGGGTGTGTGTATGTGTTGTCCTGTGTATGTCCTGCGAGTGCCAACAGCTGTTGCTTAGTGTTGCATGGGAAACCAGATGAACACAACGTCCCAAATGAAGTCCCCAATCTCAGAAGATGTAAGTAACAAGCGAAGAAACCTGTAAGTAGCATCTCAAGACAAGATGGTTCCAAAGGCAACCGCTAAAGAAAAGTATAAGTACCAGGAGAACAAACAGGGAATGTGCATTCTCGAGTCCAGTACCATTATACCACTGCACAAGTGCAAGAACTTACTGTACTTACCCTGTGCCCTGAAGAGAACCATCCTTTAAACCCAAACAAAAAAAGCATGAACAGACCTGAGCTTGCAACGAAGGATTGCGCATGGAAGACCTGATGCGAGGAAGCTTGAGGGCTTCTCCTCTTTAATATTTTATAATTCTGAGTATTAATATAATATTATTATTGCCTGATGTGAAACCTCCACAAAGACTGAGACACCCAATCCAAACCACTTTTTGACTGTCCATGGTTTGAATATCAAAAAGCTCGTAAATTAAATATGAAGACAGACCTTTCCTGAGAGGGAAGAATAACGATTCTGAAGCCCCCTGTAGACTACTGCAAACTCCATTATCGCAAATCCACCTCTGAGTCTTTGCCATCCGACTTAACATTTACATAGAAGACATGGACACCACATTTTCCTAGCCGCATGGCATATGAGAAATATGAATTATCTGTGCAGTAACGGCGCGGCAAAACAGCTAACTCCAAACCGTGATAAATCTTTCATAAGAGACCACGACCCAACCAGCAACACATGATCGGAGCCGCTCTGAGCACCCAGCTGCGAAGAAAGGGTGGCTTCAAAGCACCTGACGCTGGCAAACACTGGCATGCTGATACGACTCACTTACTACCTCAGGAAAGCATTCTGCGGCAACGACTGCAGAACCGCACTTTTTCCTGCTGTGTCCGGCGAGTCGAGAAGTTGGCGAGTCGAGTACCGTGTATCAGACCGACGAATCAGGATATTTCTCTGTCTATTCCAGGATGCTGCTATGCGGCCTTCTAAAACATTAATTTAATAGTTTGTCCTTCGAGGAACCGTCGAGTCTGATATGCACGGGAACTACGGGGGACTCCGTCCTCCGGGGGGAGCAGCCGGCTTGCGGATGCAGGCGGGTGCCTGCTTTGGCGCCGGGGCGGCCTTCGGGATGCTGGGAGTCTTCGCCTGGAATCAGGACATGTAATGACTAAGCAGGAAATACATGCAACATGTCACCGAGGCCACCGAGTGCAATCAAGACACAGCTGTGGCTGGTCCGGCGGGTTTAGCGGGAAGTCCTGTGCAGAACAGAAGCAGCCACTCGAAACAATGTCACATGTGCAAGTAGTTGAAGCTACATATCCCAATGAACGGCGAGCAAAAAACAAATCAACATTCTTGAAGCGAACCTAAGAAACCATGTCTAGCTTATTATAAAGCATACCGAACCAACGATGCAGGGCCACTGTTTCTGCATACTGGCACTGTGAACTGTGTGAACACCTGCTATTGTTCCGACCGTACACCCCTTCTTTGCTGGGCTCCATATCCAAGGAAGAAGTGCTGGACACAGGTGTAACTACTGAACTCTAATAAGTGATTAAAACTAACCAAAGAAACCAAGCTTGTGCATGATGTGGACACAAGAACTGCTGGCTATTTCTTGTGCATCCAGCTAACTAACACGTGTAACAGACTCGGTCCACGATCCACCGAAAAGGCATCGAACACATAGGATAATATGCTTTGTTTTGCCACCTGCGGCCCCCGTGTCCCCTCCACCTCGTCCCTGGCACCTCTCTAATCTAATGCTGCTGACGGACATGGGTGCCCTCTGCTGGAACAGGCCACCCTAGTACTAGTACTAGTACTAGTACTAGTACTAGTACTAGTACTAGTACTACTACTACTACTACTACTACTACGACTACTACTGCTACTACTACTACTACTACTACTACTACTACTATGACTCATTAAGATTACGGATGTGCAAGTCCAACATGGTAAGTAAACTACTAAAGTACGATTAGTAAGTACTAAAGTACTTCTTTTGTTGCCTTACTTGTACTAGAACTACGATGAAGAATGACTAATTGTACTAGTAATAGGACTATAGTAATGCCTTCACAAGAACTTAACATAATTCCGAACCCAAACCCACATACGTGAAATCGGCGTGGCACTACTAAGCAATCCCCTGTATTAATTAATGCCTTCCCCTTGCAGTCCTGCGTCGTGCTCTTGGACCTGCGAGAGCTGCATGGCCAAGTAGTCCGCCTCGAGTTTCTTGCGCTCCATCTCGATCTCGAGTTGCTTCATGAGGAGTTCCCTCTCGGTCGGCCCGCGGGGGGGGTCCTGCGAGGATGACGAGGCCGCCGAGGAGAACTTCACGGCCGTCGTGGCCTGCGAGTGAGTCGGAGTCGGCAAGCCCGAGTGCAGCTGCTCTTGCTTGGCCGCCTTCGTTTTGGCCTTCGAGATTGGTTGGATAGGCGGTGCAGCGGGTGCAGGGGCGGCGGGTCTGGAAACGGCGGGTGCAGCGGGTGGGATCTTCGAGGTTTTGAGAGGTGGGGCCTGCGGCTGTCGGGTGGTAGCGGGTGGTGCTGCCTCAGCTGCGCGTGCTGCCGTGTTTGCCACATAGGCAGCCCATTCGGGTCGAACTTGGGGTCGAGGCTTCGGCGGGGCCCGCGATCGTGGACCGCCTTCACCGGGTGGATCCAGAACAGTGCCGTGTCCGACCAGTGGCTTGGCGCCCGGCGTGGACCGGACCCGGGGAGGAGGCCTGTCGGGTGGACTGTACGAGTACAGGTCCTTCGGGGCGCCCGTGGCAGGCTCGTAGTCCGACGGGTCGTAGGTGTGGTCGTCGTCGAAGGCGAGAACTCCGGAGTCCGGCGTGTCGTAGCCCTGCTCCCGGAGGTACTTCGTGCGCTTCCGGCGTGCTTCTGTCTCCAGCGTGTAGTTCTCCTCCGGCCTGAGGTCCGACACGATCGACTGGTACGACGAGCCGCCAGGCAAGTCATCCGAGTGCACGTCGTCCTCCGTTTTCAAGACGGCCATCTTCTTCCGCTCCTTCACGGGTATGTGCGAGAACGTGTTCTCGATCCGGCGAGACTTGGCGGCCTTGAACACCATGTACTCTTCGTCATCGTCTCAGAGCAGAACACATCCGACCGCAAAGGAAGACATGTGAGAGTGACATAGACATGTGCAAATGACAAGAATTCAGCTTGGGCACGTCGCGGGTGCATGGCGGCAATCGACTTCTCGTTGATGTTCATCGTGAAGTACGCCGAGTGGTTTCTTAAGTCCCCAGATTTGCCCGACGAGGCTTTACCTCAGTCCAGAACAGTGCTGCACTCAACTGAACTCTGCAAGCAAAGTACGTCTGGCTGCATTCCAGAGCACGATTCATCTGTCCGGCGATATCGTGTGCGAGAATTCGGCCCCACGGGGATTGCTCAGCAAGTCCGACCAGCGCCTTATTCATGGGACACAGTGGATGCAATGAAGTCCTTGATCGTGCCTGAACACGAGCTTATTGCTTAATTAAGTCAGGCAGCGTTCCAAACACCGTCGTCGAGATCGAACGGGTAGTTCATGATTGCCGCCGCAACGGCTGGGTGCTTGTAGAGAAGAACAGCGCGTGACTCGGGTCAATCAGTCAGTCTCTCATGCAAACCAGGACTACTAAAAAACCAATTTCAGTCAATGTAAAGTAGCCAAGACACCCTTTCCCTCGCCATCTCCATGCAAAGATCGTCCACCGCTTTTTGCCCTCCTTTTTTGCGGGCCATGTACAAGTGGAACTCGAGCATGTCGACCGCCGTGTAGTCGTCCTGGCAGGCCTTCGGGGGAGGTGGAGGGTCCTCCTGGTCCAGCGATCTCCCCCGGCGTGTTTTGGCCACCGTGAGGAAGCCGTCGTCGCCAATGCCTGGCAGTGCCATCGAGTCGGCCGCCCGGGGGGTGTCGGGGTCCTCGGTCTCGTCGTCGGCCTGTCCTTCGTCGTTGTCATCGTCATCGACCTCAACGTCCACGTATTCCTCCTCCGCCGGCGGGTCGTCCTCCTGGTCCTCCTGGTCCTGCGGCTCGTCGTCTTCGTCCGGTTCGTCCATGTCGTCCTTCGTGTGGGGAACGACGGTGTCCTGGTCGGACACAACCTCTGCCCAACGTCCAAGGTCCTGCGCGATCATCTCCGAGTCTGTGTCCTTCTGGTAGCCCTCGTCGTCCGCCTCCTGCATGCCTTCGGAGAAGGCCGCCGCGGCCTCGGGTACGTCCGGCTCACAAAAGCCGAGCTGCGTGGCCGCCGCGTAGTAAGCGAGTGACCTCCGACGGGGATTTTTGAACATGTACTTCGACATGATGATGGCCGTCGAGATGAAGTTGGGTAACGGGTCGTCCTCCTCGCGTTTCTCCACGGGTGGCAAGTGGACCGACCACCACTTGATGTCCCAAACGTCCGGGTAGTTGAACGTCGGGAGGAACAGCGGGTGACCCAAGGCAAGTGCCACAAGGGTGGAAAGTCCGGCGGCACGGTGTTTGCCCCGTTTGCCTCAGCTCGTAGTAGTAATAGTAGTAGTAGTAGTAGCAGTAGTAGTAGTAGTAGCAGCAGCAGCAGCAGTAGTAGTAGTAGTAGTAGTAGTAGTAGTAGTCGTAGTAGTGGTAGTAGTAGTGCTAGCAGAAGTAATAGTAGTACTAGCTAGTAGTAGTAGTAGTAGTAGTAGTAGTAGTAGTAGTAGTAGTAGTAGTAGTAGTAGTAGTAGTAGTAGTAGTAGTAGTAGTAGTAGTAGTAGTAGTAGTAGTAGTAGTAGTCGTAGTCGTAGTAGAAATAGTAGTAGTAGTAGTCGTAGTAGTAGTCGAAATAAACGTGAACAAACGAATTCCCACCTTCAACCTCGTCACAGAACAGCGAGAGGATGATCTTCATGCCCTCCGGCTTGTACTCGAGCAGCGTGGAAATGAGAGCGAGCATCATGACCAGCGCGTGCCACATGCCTTCCTGGCCGACCGACAGGTGCTGGAGAACTCTGTAGTTGAGCGCCGGGGAACCTTAGAAAGCAATCAAAAGCCACATGCCACACTCTCTCTGTAATGCAACACATCGGAACAACAACGACTGCACTGCAACTATGGTACCGCGGGGACTCTGAACGTCGTGTTCTGCGTCCTTCAAGCCCAGCGCACGAACGTCGATGTCAAGGTACATCCAGTCGAAGACGCCGAAGCCGCTCTTCTCCAGTCCAGTCTTCAGAACTCCGGTTCGTCCATTCGCGTGTGTCGGGGTGTTCGCCGGGCCTGATGAAACGAATCACACACACACACACACTAATCGTGCAGCAATGCAGAAGCACAGCATGTTGAATTCGACGGTTTTAGACAAGAAGCAGGCATAAGGCTTCGGGTACAGCATGTCGGCTCCGTATCCGACCAGCAACAACTTGTCCTCCCCGTTCGGCGAGTCTTTGACGTCCTGCGTGGTCCGCTGATACGTGTCCATGTTGCCCGTCGAGTGCACCGGCAGGGGGGCCCGCGGGGCTTTGTCCGCAACCCTGCCGACACCTTCAAAAGATGAGGTCATGGCCGCCGAGGTGGAACTACGAAGGAACGGCGAGGATACTAGGTAGAGGAGAACGTCGGGAAATTATCAGTCATGCGCTTCCACACGCTGAAAGTCCTTAAACCTTAAGGCGAGTGATGCAATAGCTACTTACGAGTGTTAAGCTCCTATAAACTGTGTGAATGAATCTGAAAAAGCGTCCATCATGTGTTGCCTGAGGCATGGACATCATGTCATCAGAGAGCTTTGATGCACAATGTGCAGGCTTGGTCCAAAATTGTGGCAGTCGAACAACCGATGCTCCGTCAACAAAGCTTCAACAATGCTGGTCGCATGCACACACACAAGATAACCAACATTCGTTCATGTCATGAGCAGGCAGAGCAAAAGGGGAGGGCGGAAGGCACCTGGTCCAGCGAAGAGCGTGGCATTGGACACGAAGTTGTTGTCCACCGTTGCAGAACGACGGGGAAGCACGGCGGGTAAGTTCTTCGGGTTGAGCTACAGCTTGCCCCTCAAAACAACTGAAGACCAAATTCCCGCGAGCGACCTTTGCTCCTCCAATTCTGTAATAAACTCAGCCTGTATTCAATCTTAAATCCATACTCCTATACACACAAATCCATTCAACTCAAACCGCTGTCCAAACGGGTGTTTGCTTAATTGCTTGCTTGTTATGTGGTTTTGGAATCCTCCGATTGGCTATGTAAAAAACACACCACCGGCATGTAAAATACGCACACAAATCATAATCTCAAAACTGGGGGAGTTGAACTCGCAAATGTGCAATTTGGGTTGATCATGGAAAACTGCCAAAACATACACCCTATCCCCGGCATACGCGCATCCCTGCTTAAGTTGATCTCTGATCCACAGTAGTACTACTACTACTGCTTCCTACTACTACTGCTACTACTAATAATAATACTACTACTGCTACTACTACTACTCCCTGCCTTTCAGCCAGGATCTTTACCCGACTTGTTACGACCAAGTTTGATAAACACAACCATACTCCCACATTCCACCCGCATGGCGACAAGCCCAGGGCGTAGCTTGTGCATTCTGTGTTTCCCAATGGGTCCTACGTATCTGTATATAGTAGTAAGTAGGGCTTCGACAGGGGGAACTAGTATTATAGTTTGGGTAAGTATCCCGCCCCATATCTAGGTACTAAGGACCCTTTGGGTTTGTGGATGGCTGGTAGAGAAAAACCTATCACCGATACTAATGCTCAAAGTAAAGCCAGTTACGACTCCAAACCCCAAACTTGGTCCTAAACTCTACACTCTACACCCATAATCCCGAAGACCCTAGCCGCTCACTCTAAACCCTGCCTTAACCCTAAATATCCTACCTTTTTTTAAGGCTCCTTATTCTGATTGCTTTTATGAGTCCTGAAAAAGGTAAGATATTCAGGGTTACCCTGGGCATCAAAGTAGCCCAAAAGCCTTATATAGTATGGTCTTTGGGCCCAAAAGCCTTAAAATATGAGTCCTTAGATGCCTAGGGAATTAGAGTGAACCCTAAAGGAGCCTTAGTCTGGGATACGTCAGCCGCAAGTAGCCCCAAAGGGACCCAGGCACCAAATTAGGGGATCTACTTTTAAGGCCTCCTTTAAGGGTTCCTTTAAGGGGGCTTAGGGTTCCTATGAGGCTTCCTTCGAAGGTTTAGGGATTGGGTTTAGGGTTTAGGGTTTAGGGTTTACGGGCTAGGGTTTAGGGTTTAGGGTCCCCAATCATAATTCTAATTCCACTATTTTCAGAAACCCTATTTTTTTCTGTATAGGTATTGGGGATGCTTTGGGAGCATCTAGCACAGAAGAGAGTCAACACCAAAAAATGTCCACACAGATTCGCGTTTGCAGTCTAAGTTTCCCTGACAAGCTTGCAACCCAGGGTTTCGGGTTCTGGTAAACCCACAACCTCGGCCCTCAAACCCTGAAGCTGCAAACACGAAACCCGAACCCTAGCGACAATTTATGAACCCTAATCCTTGAACTTGCTCCGGATTGGAACCCTAAGACATCCTAAACCCCTGAACCGCAAACCTGCTTTCGGCTTAAGGGTTTGGTAAGGCTTAGTCAGGGTTTATGTGGGTTTAAACTTGAAGGCTTACGAGCTCACCTCCTTGTCTGCAGCGGCCAGCTCCTCAATCAAGTGCTGCTGCTCCTTTTCGCTTATGATTTAGAGCTTCGGGTTTAGTTGTCATAGAATCTCTAAGGACACCTTACGCATAGTTTCGGTGCCTGAGTGGATAGCATAGGGTTTGTAAGGTATATAATGTGATTAACACATACCGGGACAAGGACTACAAGGGACCATGAGTTCTAGTCATTCAAGCCCCTATGTTAAGCTCTCGGGCAACAAATCGGCACACAACTCTCAAACGTCACCATAACTATAAGACTTAATGGTTTGTCGCGTCGGAATCAGGTTTTAGGGTGCTGTGTACGTTTCTTGTATTCAGGAGCTACGAGCATGGTCGTGCGCACGCAGCTAGCATTTGCTAGTATATAGGTAAACTCTCCAAGCTTTAACTACATTCTATAGGGGCCTAAATAATTACAAATTCCATTTTGGTCGTTCCTTATTCAAACCATATAGTATAACGGGCCCCCAAACCCTATTTTTATTACTAAGGCCCCTATAGTAGCTTGGCCCCCCTCCCCCCCGTCAGAAACTCAGCCTTCCAACAACGAAACCTTAGAGGAATTCGAAAGCAACACCAGCCTTCCGCTGCTTCTGGGCATCCTGGGTTGGCTTAGGAATTAAGGTTTA